CTCCCTGCTCGGCGGGAAGCCTGGTTCTCCCTCTCCCATTCCCCCTGCTTGTGTTCCCTCTTTCACTGTCTCTCTGTCAAATAAAGAAATAAAATCTTTAAAAAAATAAATATTTCATGCTAGGTTTTAAAACAGGGAACACTATGGAATTTAGTTGCTCCTGACGTTAGAAGATAAACCTGAGACCTCAACATCTGTTTTTAAAATTTCAATCCCCAGAAAGGTCTCTAGGGACCTAAATAGCCTAGTGGTTACCAGGTTGGGATGTGGGATTGGACAACCTGGTTCAAAGTCTTACCATCCACTGTGTGACCTTGGGACAGTTATTTGACTTCTCAGTGCCTTAGCGTCATCATGTGAAAAATGGATATAAAATACCTCAAGGGCGCCGGGTGGGCTCAGTCGGTAGAGCAGGTGACTCTTGATCCCGGGGTTGTGAGTTCGAGCCCCACATTGGGTGTGGCAATTGCTTAAAAAAAATATAATCTTTAAAAAAAAAAAAAAAAGGATACCTTAAGACAAATGGCGATAATAAGCCACCTCATAAGGTGGTTATGGGACTACATAAGCAAATGTGTAAAACGCTTAGGATAGGTCTGGCATGTACTCCGAGGTTGAGAGTTTACTGTTGTTTCATTCACCTGGTTCTGCTACTAAATAACTGTGAGACTTAAGAGAAAACTGTTCAACTTGTCTTCTGTAAAAAGGGGAACTGGGACACTTGCATAATTGTTTCAAGGCCTTTTCCGATTCTAACATCCTGTGATGAACGATCTGTGTCACTAGCTGAAACCTAGTGTCCTGCACGTGGTAGAAACTGCTGCTGCAGGTGAGGTATTTAAGGACCCGGGTATGACACCAGGAGCTCTGCCTACGTTTTGAGTCTGGAAAAAGGACTAGAGTCATAATGTTTGAAGTGTAACCAAGGTTATTCCAGAGAGGGGCAGGTCTTGAAAAATTATTGCTACAAACAGTAATCAGTCACGCACAATAAAACTATTGTCCCGTTCCAGAGATGGCTCGTGTTGATTGTACGTGCGCGATTAAAAACGATGTTGAGTACGTGCGCGATTAAAAACTCATCCACGGTGACTGTGGTCTTCGTGGCGGCAGAGCTGTTTGGATCGGGCACAAGATGACCGACCGATCGTGGTGGGGAGTGTAGCATCTGCCTTCAGGGGCTCCCAAAATGCAGCTTCTCACACTGGCCCGTGCCGCCCTTTCCTTCCTCCTGCGGCTGGAGGACTGGGCAGGATGGATTCAGCGATCAGCGATCGGATCGCTAAAGCCTGATGCCCCCAGGGCAGAGGGAAGCTTCCCGGCTCTGGGCGCTCTTTGTCCTTGTTCATGGGTGTCACTTGGGTGGGTTCGTTTTGCTAGGGAACAGCCTGAGGAAGATGGGAGATTTTGGTTTCTATGGATACTTGGGCTAGCTGGGATTTACATAATGTATTTCAGAGAACAGACAGTCTGGGAACAATGTGGACCCAGGAGGAACATAAAGGCACACCGAAACGAGGTGCAGGGCACGGGAAGTCAAGCTCCGTTTCAGCCCTCGTCCAGGAACGGGAGCCCGGGACCCAACCCGGCACGTTGGAGAAGAGCCACGCGGAGCCCTGAGGATCCAGGGAGGTGGTGCGTGCACAGCGCCCCCCAAAGGCACGGTCTGTACTGTGGGTTCAGCAAACGTCCCTGCTCTTTGGCTCCCCCTTTATCTCAGCTTTGTCTGAAGGGGGCCTTCAATAACTGTACCTAGCGTGTGAAGCTCCTTTGTTTATTTACAGAACATTTCGGATACGCCCTCTCATTTTAATTCCGGCTATCACGTGAGAGACGCTGGGG